CCTAAGTATCCATCCAAAACTGGCCTAAGTGCACAATTGTTGAGTATTACTTTGAAGGGGTTTCCTCAATTCCTTCTCTCTCATTTTGTTGTAAGAAAGATTAATTCCCTCCGGCCTATGATATTTTTAACAAATTTTCACATTTCTTGATAGAAATTGCAGATTTTTAGTATGTTAAAAATTTTATCCCAAATTTTTGTAGATTTAAAAAAAAAAAATTCTCTCCACTAGAAAAATTTTAGAGATGTATTCCAACAAAACATACTCCCTTTTCATTTGTGAAAAACTATCACTGATCACCAGTTCCTTGTAAGTATTATTTACAAGTTTTTGTAAAATAAAATTTGCATTGTTTCATGCTTCTTAAATTTATTTATTTAATTTATTTTTATTTTTATCGAAAAGCAATAATTATTTCAGACGAATAACATGTTTTTATAATCATCTGGATTTATTTTATTTATGAATTTACTTCTTTAGTTTACCAGTCATATGATCTGTAACCCCTAAGTCTATTATCCAAGAAAAGGTATTATAGTAAGACATGAAAGTACAATAATTACCTTTGTCTTGAGAGGAGGAAATAGGATCATGTATAGAGGAAGAACTACTCATGTCAATTAGTTTATGAGAATAATCACAGTTGCACCGTTTTAAGTGGTTGCGGTCTGAGCAGCAGACCTGTTGGTTGTTCTGTAATTGGTGGGCTTTAAGTGTGGGTACAACACCCAACGCCTATCCTTCACTTGTCCTATGTTATTGCAGTGGTCACATCTTGGATGCCCTCTATTAACACGACTGTTTCCACCACCGCAATAATTATTAAAGCCTCTACATCCACCATTAGTTTCATATTTTATAGTTTCATGCTTTTCATTGGTAGTAACCAAGGTAGATTTCTCAATATTTTCTTCAGGGGTTTTGAAGCCAAGACTCATCATTTTCTTCCTATTTTTTTTCGTTGAATGGTAGCACAAACATTTCTAAATAAGGGTAATTTTGTAGTCATTAAGATTTGGCTCCTAATGGATTCATATTCATTATTTAACCCAGCCAAAAAATTAAATATTTTGTCTTGCTCAGCACGTTTTTGCTAGATTGCCAAGTTAGTAGTTGTAGATGAGTACATAGCAACTCATCCGAAGTGCCAAGGTATTCAATCATTATTTTATCTCCTTGATTTGTTTGAGAATTTTCTTGTTTTAATTGGAAAATTCGAACAACATTGTTTTGTGGGCCATACATTTCCTCAATAGAGTTCAATAAATCTTAAGTATTCTCAGCAAAAAATAAAAATTTCTAAAAAGCTTAGGTTCCATAGAGTTCAAAATCCATGACATCACAAGATCATTATTGGATTGCCATTCTTCAAACAAGGAATCATCTTTATTGAAAGCCTTTTCCTTCCCAATGATGTGCCCACGTTTGGATTTCGTAGAAAGAAAACGCCCAAGAAAGATAATTAAATTCATTAAAAAGAACGGTAGTAAGTTTCATACTAGAGTTACGTTTTGAATTTTCCATTACAAAGAAATAAAGAGAACCAGAAGAATGGCCTGATAAGTAAATAGCAATAAAAGAGTACAAACACCTCAATCGGAAAAATCGAAAACCCCAATGAATACTATTGTTTTCTCTCTCTAGAAATTGACAATACGTATTCAACTGTTTATGAATTTAATGCTCCCAATCGAAATAATTGGCCGCTTTTCTTCAAACCAAATCAAACGGCCCTTCAAAGATGTTACCTTTGAAAAAGAAAAGCCAGAGAGAGAAGATCGAGCATCCGTAATGCCAAGGGAGAATACGAACCAAGACCTCTAGGTGTTGAATCCATAGTTAGCAAGTCGGGGACTATCAATAAATCGGCTCACCATAAAATCAGAAACAAAATGTTTTTATTTTAAAAAATCGGAAGAAAAAATTGGATAAAAATACGGATCGGCAAAAATACTTCATATAAAGATATCTCTAATATATCGGATTAGGCTCAAAAAATCAGAGTAAAAAAATCGGATAAATTTATAATATTAGAAATTTGAAATTCTAAAAAATAAAAATTATGTCAAAGCCATCAATTACTAATTCATCTATAAAAATTTTACTAGACTAATATAATTTAATTAATTAATTTAGATGTCTCGTGACTCTCATTCAATCATCCAATATTAAATATGTAATTAATTAGTATATACCAAAAAAGGTACCGTATAAATCTATCCATTAAATACTTTAAGAAACATCACACCTACTTATTACATACAAAAACAAATATACTCCATAAATTTATTCATTAAAATACTTTAAATGTGGTATGGTGACAAATAGACTATAAATTTATTCATTAAATACTTAAACATAACTCCTACTTAGCAGGTACCAAAAAATAAATACACGATTTTTGTTTTCTCATTACAATTATTTAAGTATGGTATGGTGACTATGGTCGCTCCATAACTATAGTAAAAGTTTTATAAAGTTATTTAGTTGAAGAGAAGCTCGTAGAAATTTGGATTTTACATCTGTATTTACTGTGTAGAGAGAGAGAAGGAAGAAGGAAGAGAAGAAAATAGGGCTCGGCTCATAGCCATTAGGGTTCATAGAGAGAAGAAGGAAAAAGAAAATGGTTTTCACAAACCCTAATGGAAGGGACCCTAACTGATTTTTAGAGAGAGAGAAGGAAGAACCCTAATGGAAGAGACCATAACTGATTTTTAGAGAGAGAAATGGAAGATGGGATGCTGATTAGTATGAAGAAGGTGTTTTTCTCTGATTTAGTATAGTTTGAAGAGAGTTTTTTCATTTTCTTGATGAAACAGAGCTGAAGGATTAAGTTTGGGGAGCTAATCCTATATGTACAATTGCTTGCTCCGGTAAGTTTACAGTTTACACAATCAAAAACAAAATATTGATTACTTGGTCCTCTAATCACACTGTTTGCTTCTCATTCATCACTAAAAAATTATGCTTTGAGCTTTAATTTGTGCCATTAACAATACTTTCATGAAAACAAATATCACGAATAATCATAGCAATCTGCCTGTATATGATTTCTTTACACGATGATTAACTTTACAAAATGATTTGCTATAAACAGTATTTCATTTACACAATGATTCTTCAGAAGGACAACTAAAATTTGCATCTATTTGATTAAATTTTAAAAAAAAAATTATACCATCAATCTGCAACTCTGGCTTTGAAGAACACAGTGGGGATAAAAGTTTCTATTTCAGTTTTTTTTTGTTGTAGTAATTTTTTTGAAAGCATGAAAGTAGCAATGGCTGCAATAGACAAAACAAGAAAAAAATATTTTTCAAAAAAAAATATAGGTAAAAAAGAATACAATTTTTTCCCCTGATTTAAATCGTATTATGAAAAAAAACCCGTTTTAAACGGGTTTATGAAAATTATGCGCTTTTTTTCTGGCCTTTTTAAAAAGTCGCTGTTTAAAACTGTTTCTAAAAAAATACCGAATTTTTGAAGAAATCGCTATTAAACAATGATTTGCTAACTGTGATTGGATCCTATACGACGGAAGCTGGGCTTTGAACCGAGACATCGACTCACATGAACAGCAAGCCACCATGATAGAAGTGAAGCAGTCGAAAGAAAGAGGAGAGTTTGCACTCGAAAGAAAGAAGAAAGATTACACTTTCTTTCAAAAAAAAAAAAACCAAGCGTCAAGAAAGAGGAGAGCTTGCCCTTTCCTCGGAGATTTGCGCTTTGACTTCCTTCCAACTTTTACACTTTCCTTCAACTCTTACAGTTTCCTTCAACCACCCCTCATGAGAGAGAAAACGACGAGAGACAAAGATAACCAGTGAGAGAGCAGAAGGAATGGTTGGTGGCCACGCTCGTGCAAAATGGTTTGCTTATCGCCTTTAGATAGGAGTAGGAAAAGGAAAAGTAGGAGAGTAGAGAGATGAGTTAGTACAAAGTGAGAGTGGAGTTCATTTGAATTTGGTGCTATCCAAAATCAAAATCTCATATTTTGTGGGAATGATATATTCTCATATTTTGTGGGATTGAGATTTATATAGATACATTTTTCAAAAAAAATAGAAATCCAAAAAGATTTGGTTTTGATATATATATATATATATAGGAAGTTTCTTATTTACTATGGATTCTTAAAGAATAGTGGTTTCTCTAGAGAGAGAGTGAGATAGAGTTTCTTGTATATAGGATGCAATTTCTATTTCCTCCTAAAGAGAAGAGAAAACATTGAAGATTTTCCCTTTTAGTAAGAGAAAAGTCAGTTTCTTGTTGCTCTCGTGTCTTTATCTAGTGTTGTCGATATTGTCAGAAGTAAATAGAATGAATGAAGAGTTGTTTTTCCAAAATCTTTGATGTAACTTTCATTGATATAGTGGATTTTTATTTGCCGTGCTTGTGGATGTGACCCTTTTAGAGTGAATCACATGAATATTTGCCTTCATGTGTTATGTGTTTAATGATTTATTTCCAATACTTTATTTGCCAAAAAAATCAACCTATCGGGTTTAGAGCTTCGGTGCACAACAAGTGATATCAGAGCCCGATTGGTATCAGTGCACAACAAGTGATATTAAACAACAACAAGCTCTTCTTAGGGTTTTCAAAACGAGAGGCGGCATATTAATGGTGATGGATCGGCTTGCTCTGATATTATGTAGAATTTGAAATATAAAAAATAGTGACGAGTGAAAAAGAGATCAATAAGACATATATGTGGTTCAGCAATGGTGCCTTCATCTACGGAAGATAAACCAGTATCTCATTTATAAGGATTAGATTTATAGAGTTACAGCTCTTATTTTTTAGGGAAAAAAATCCCATTACAATTGTAATCCCACAAAATAACTCAATATAAAAAACTCAATCTTTGGCTACTATAATTATTAACAACTTTAACATTATTAAGGAAAACAACATAGACTCATGATCGAGCCCAAACGATAGGGAGGCCATTATTTAAGCAGCAAAGGCACTCTAAAAAGAGTGAGAAATTAATTAAATCAGTAGCCAGCCGGGTAGCCGCCCTTTCTTGGGTCACAAACGGCAGTAAGATTTGCAACGATAATCGTCTGTCCCTTTGCGAGGCCACTTTGGGCAGCGTGATTTGGGAGGATAATCTTCTGTCCCTCAGCGAAAGAAGGCGGGATGTCGTGGACCACAAATTGGCATTTCGCACCTTCGGATACATTTGTAAGGACATGACCTTTCTTTGCCAAGGCTAACCTAATGTACGGGGGCACTTCAATGTGATTACCATCCACTGTATCCCAGTTTTCGTATTCCAAAATGTTGGGTATGAGCTGTAAATAAATACAAAAAAAAAAAAACAGCAAGAAACCAATTTTAGGTTACAATATGTTAAGTATATAACGTGACTATTTATTTTTTATACGATGGGATCATAATCATTAATAACTATTAGACCTGAAATTGGGCGGTTGAAGATATGTCTTTCTTTGGGCACAAAATCCAAAATAATATTTATTGATTTTTATGATGCACTTATACAATTTGAATTCACATCTGATGGTTAAAAGTAATTGTGACCTAAATATATATACTCTAACAACAATATTTATCACTTGCCGGATGTTAGAGAGAGAGAGAGGGGTTCATCAATCTCCTCGGTCCCAAGACCATTTACAATTCATTTTGAGCTTTGAGTCTCTCTTTGATTTATAATTTTTTGAAAATTAAATTTGGAGGAATTAAGTAGTTGGAATATGGCTCTAATGCTGATAATAACGATATTTAGAGGAATTATTTTTCTGCTTTTGTTCTCTCATGGGGCACATTTGTCTACGATCTTCCACTCTCATAAAGAAAATCCTAATTACTCCAAAACATAAATGAATGAAGAAGCACAAGGAGAGTAGAAATATACCACATGGTAAAGTCGAGGCGCTAAAACGGAAGCCCATGGGTCCATCTTATGAACAAAATAATTCAAAAAAACCTGTATAACTGCAGTCATTATTCTTGGTCCTCCACTGCCACCAATCACACCCTTAAGTTGTCCATCCTGTTTAATATAAATAAGATAGGGAGTAAGAAGCTATATTCTCATATGAGAGAGAGAGAGAGAGGGGACCTACCCTTAAGTTGTCCATCCTGTTTAACATAAATAACATAAGGAGTAAGAAGGTTTATTCTCATATGAGAGAGAGAGAGGGGACCTTGACGAATATGGTGGGTGTCATGGAGGATAATGGCCTTTTGTATGGCTCGATGAAGTTTGCCGGAGCTGGAGGCATAGTGGTATTTGAAGTGGTATTTGAAGGGACGGAGAAATCGTTCATCTGATTGTTGAGTATTATGCCTGTTTTCTGAGACCGAAACAATGCTCCAAAATAGAAATTAATAGAAGAAGTCAAAGAAACTGCATTTCTCTCACTATCGACGACACATAGGTGCCATGGTCACTTGGCGATAGAAACCTGCAAAAATATGTTGATGCTTTGAAGATTGGAAGTTTGAAATTTTAGAGAGAAAGAAAATATTGATGCTTTGAAGATGGAAGATTAAAGTTCTAGATAGAGAGAGAGCGCTAAGTGGTTTTCAATGAAATCCTCACTATGTGGTTACATAAGAAAAAGGTCTTAATTTAGGTACTAAAGGGCGTTGCACCTTGACATGCAAGGCAATGAGAATCTATATTGTTGTGCTACGACCCTCTATGTTAAAGCACCAAAACAATGCTAATGCAACCTTGTTTCATGTAGTTAGTTGATCACTTTCATTGGCAATGAAGAGAAACAGACCTTCACAAATTGCACTAAAAACTAAAATAAAATAAATAACAAATATAACAAAAAAAATAAAAAGTAGAAATCTCCTTATCCAATAATATTTGACAACAATTGTTGAAGCAAACAATTTATCTCAAATAAATGAACAATTGTTTCATACGAGCTGGAATGCGTTTGTGCAATATGTGGTCTGGAGGTATAAAACATCCGTTTTAAAGACGAATGCAAATAGGCGGTCCCTCTAAAAACAGTTGTAATTAATAATCCAAATATTTTCTTAATATAATTATTATTTCTAATTTTTTAAATTTTTTTATTTATACATATCCATGATCTCTATGTTAAATATTATGTATTCTCTAAAACTCAGGATCAAGTTATATTTAAAAAATATATCTATTTCCAAGCCAGCATTTGCATATGTGCGGGTTTAGGCGCATGGTAACCGTGTCCCAAATAATACCTGACCCACTACGTATCGCTTTGGGGTGTTGCTAGCTATTTGGATAAGAAGCTTTAAGAATATAGGGTACCTTAAAAAAAAATAGTAGTCAGGATCATGAGTTGTGTTATCTTGTATTCTGCTCCTCAACATTCTTGCAAAGCCTGGAGACAGCATTTTAGCTACACTGGGATTAAGATCGACAAAGTCTGGGTCACCTAGGCTCCATCTCTGTGCAAACATGTGCTTGATTGCTTCAATCATTCGGTGGAGTCCGAGGGGGTTCAAAAGAGCTTTATAATCAATTCCATATTCATCAAGTATATTTAAAACCTATAAGAGAAAATAGATCCTTCAAGTAATCAATTATCTTTCTTACACCAACCAAGAAAGTGTTTGTGTGTCTGTGTGAGAGATACAGAGCGAGGGTACAGTCAGAAGAATTACGCACCATTAGTACCCCAAAACCACCCGAAGCAGGAGGAGGCATGGTAACGATTTCGTGATCCATGACATTTCTGGAAATTGGCCTCCTCTTTTTAATGGCGTAACCTTTCAAGTCTTCCATGGTGATTATCCCTCCTTTCTCTTGGATATCAGTAAGCAAATCGAGCCCCACTGAACCGTTATAAAACACCGATGGCCCATCAACTGCAATTTTTTCCAATGTATTGGCAAGTACAACATCACGACACATATCTCCATCCTTCAATAGCTTTCCATTTCTCATGAACTTCTCTCTTAAACCCTTATCTCTGCGTATTGCTTCCTCTGTAGCTTCCATTTGATGGTGCAGATAGCCAGATACCGTAAATCCATCTCTTGCTAGAGCAATTGCAGGTTTCACCAGTTCCTTCCAAGGAACCTTGCCATGATCCTTCCAAGCCTCATAGAGACTTAATAATTCCCCTGGAACTGCTACAGATAGTCCACCATGTACTTTTGCAGCGGGATGATTCTCATACATATCCTATCAAAGGGAAAAGTTTTTATAAGGTTGCAACGTTAAAATGTAGAATCATAGATGCGCTTCAAAGCTCTATAGGAATTATTGTTTTAATATCGAAAAAACCCTCTAATCGATCATCTAGACATCGAGATGTATGAATATGAAAAAAAAAAAAAATTTGAGTCCTGAAAATAGTGCATCTTGCAACACATTATCTAGACCGTCCATTTTCAAGATTTTCTTATCTTTGTAGATCTACTTGATTTTTACCATTTTTGGATTTTAAAATTTTCTAATTAGGTATGAAAATAGATTTTAAGATAATACTAAGAATTTTTTACAACAAAATTACATAAAATTTTAAGGTTCGTCTTAATTGGATTCTTTAAGGTTGCAACCTTATAGAAACCACACCCATATTATTGTATTTGAGTATTTGTTTGTTCAAAAAATTGCTGGAAAAAAAAGACAAATGCGGAATGTCTATTTAGGCAATTGGTTAATAAAGTGCAAATAAATTGAAATTAGGGAAAATTACGGAATTCCGTTAGATGTAACATTTGCCTTGGCTGTAACATTCTTCGCAAAAATATCTCTCATCGAAAAGTCTCTAACACACATTAGGCCGAAACAAACTTTTTTTCCCTACCCCGAGGGCACTTTTTAGCATAATTTAGGATGTAAGTCCACTTTTAAATAAAATTAGAAAATCCATGGGAAACTTTTCTCTCTCAATCTCTGTTGCTCCCTCTAACTCTCCCTCCCTCTCTCTCTCTTTCTCTCTCTCTATCTAAAATTAAACAAAAAATTGTGTTTTGAAAATATTGCATTCTCAAGCCACAAGTATTAAAGATGAAGGAAGAGCACATAACGAGCAAATGATGGTCCACGCATTATCGGCCACAGTTCCCAAATAAAAACATAGAGTGTTTTTCTCTCGTATTTATTTCACGGTTCCAATGAGTCCTTGTAGAAATGAGTCACCTCTTAAAAATCTATTTTTGAGATAAGTTTTTCGATCTAATTTTTAAGGACATACAATCTCCAACATGGAGATCATGAATATGAATAAATAAATAAATTTTAAAAATTAAAAATATTTCTATTTAAAAAATATTTGGACCCTTAGTTTTCAGTTATTTTTAAGTTAGTTTTCAGTTATTTTTAAGTGGACCACCCATGTGCATCCACTTTAAGTTGATGCTTTATCGTAAATGTAGAAATGCTGTCCCCTCATGAAGCAATTTTCCTAATTTTTGAGCTATCCATTTTAGTTCTATATTTAACTCAACCATTTTAACGGCCTCAATTAAAAAAAGTAATTTTTCTCTTTCTAAATAATTCCCTATTTATAATACATAAAATAATAAGTTGCCATATATTTACTCATTTTATAACGAGGCAACCGATTGACAAGGTGTTACGTGAAGCTGAGGTTGTTGCACCGCAAAATATTTATGTGAGAATGAAAGGGTAATTTAAATGAAGTTTCTAACATTATAAGAACAAAAAATAATAATGCAATGAATTCTTTTTAATCTAAATCATTTAATGTATTTAAAAAGAACTTCAAGAGGATTCCTTTGGTTTCCCATAAGCCAATAATAAGTTTAAAATTGGAGTAAAAAAAAAAAAATTTATTTTTGCTAAATAATAAATTAGCAAATGTATTCATTATTTTACCCTTGAAGCCGCTCCAGGAGCAGTTTCTCGCATGTCATAGCCCAGTGCTTGGCCATTTGCAGATCTAAGCAACATGAAAGATCCCCCACCAATACCACTCGATCCTGGGCTAACAACACCGACGCAGAAGGTAGTGGCAACCGCTGCATCAACTGCGTGGCCCCCTTTTTGAAGAATCTTGCTACCAATTTCGGAACAACGGCCATCGCTTGCCGCCACAACACCATTCTCTACTGTGATCACTTCTGGGTCATCTGCCATAGTTCTCGGAATTGAACGGCATGAAATGGGTTCGAATAGGACCAATAGGAGAATTACGGACGGCCACATTGCTGCCGATGCAATGAAATGGCATAGAATTAGTACCAATTGAATTAAATACTCCATACGCATGATTTATTGGTAAGTTTTATTATTTCAAGAATAATTCACGTGAGTGTTGAATAAGTACTTTGTGAACCTCAAATGAACCCATGAACTAAATGAAGCATCCTCTCCCTCGTTAGTCACCTGAAGTTTGGTCTTGCAAGGAGAAAAACGCTCGTATATCATTTAATGGTGTCAATAGACTATATTGCACAGCTTTGGATGATCTTTTCTCCTTGGGTTATATTCTTTTACAAATTATCATTTAGGGAAAAAATATTTTGTAATCATATTAAAGAAGACCATAGCCCATTTATAGATGGCAGTGTGGGCACGTAAAGAGAGCGAAGAGCATTAAGCTTTCGAAAAGCAGTTTTGTTTTTCATAGATGAAAAAATAAGAGCAGTTATGAAAGAAGTAGACAAGTATTTAATTGCTTGCTATTTGAAAGAAGAAGCTTAAATTGCATTAAAAATAGGATAAAAATAATATCAACCATAGAGAAGAAATGATAGACGGAGCAATTTACTCCGTTACTGTTGTACAAGTAATAAAAATTAAAACCAATTACTATTGTATAGGTAACGAAATCAAAACCAAAGATAAAACAAAACATAGAATATGATGTTTTAGGTGTGGAATAATGATGAAAGTGGGTCAGCACAAACAAAGTATGACTTGTGAGCCAGGATTATAATAAGGGAAAAAGTAATATAGAGCCGAGGCTCTAAACAATCAAATCAGAACCTACCTCAAAACTTTCACAAGAAGAGGTTGTTTAGATGCCTAAATATCCACAATTTGATCATCTCGACAACAAGATGAATGGACATGAGAAAAAAATGAATTTTAAGTTTTGCAAATAGTGCATCTTGTAACACATTTTTGGGCCATCAATTTTCAAGATTTTCAAGTTTTCATAGATCTGCTCGATCTACACTATTTTTGAAGCTTTAAATACTTATAATTAAAAATGAAAACATATTTTAAGACTATCACAAAGATTTCCAATATTGAGACTGCATTTCTCAGTACTATTTGAAGATGCATTTTACTTTGATTGTTTAGAGCCTCAGCTCTATACACACGGCACCCTTATAATAATCGTATAATGAATAATACAAAAGAGAAATTACGTATGGATCCTATTTTAGTATCCCTTTTTATATTGAGATGCTCAATACTTTTTGCCAATATTACGTGGAGACCACTCCCATTTTGCTACCTTTTCTTTTACTATTGTTTCCACGTCAGACACTTCCAACACTAGACGTAATTTTTCTTATTTTTCTTTTGCTAAAGGCTTGTCTGTATCAGAAACACCTTGATCATTGGGTACCGCAATGCTTGTAATGTGACACAACCCCAAAGTCTAAGTTCATAGAGTATACGACATTTTCCATTTCCCCATTTCCCGTTCACTCTCTCTTTCTGTCCCCTCTCTCTGTAACCTAGCTATCTCTGAACATAAAGTTGTCTGATATTACAAACACCAAATAAGCAACTAGGAAAGGATGTTCGGTGTTTCTAATATAGGATGGCAAAAGACAAACTGAAAAATTGCAAAATTTCTTTCCTCTCAAGTGTTTGAAATGTCAGACAGGGGGCAATTCTAAAAAGAAATGGAGGCATGTTGGTGCTGGGCTCCGCATAACATTTGCAAAAACATTTGAAATGTCAAACAGGGGACAATTCTAAAAAAAAAGGGGTGGCATGTTGGTGGTGATCTCCACATAATATTTGCAAAATTATGGAGCATCTCGTAAGAAAGGTTCTAAAAGGGGTCCGTATGTAATTTTCCCAAAACAAAATTTTCAGTTTCGTGAGCTGATATTGCTTAGGAGCTTTTGCTCGTATATCTCCTCCTGTATTTTGAGATTTTTCTTTTTCCTTCATGTTTTTCTTTTCTTTTATTTTTTAAAGAAGTTGTTAATAATTACCAAACTAACAAAAGTCTCATAGTAGTAGAATGGATAATGCAGGTGTTTGGATAACTAATTGCTTCTTATAGATGCATGGATCACACCTTTCAAAATATGTACCGGTGAATTGAATGCTGCATATAATGAGGTAGAAGAAGCTTTACGGCAACAGGTGGTGAAACTAAAAAATTTGTGGGTGAAACGGGGGCTGAAGTGTAATCGGTGAGAAAATAATTTGAAATTACAATAGAAAACGAAGAAACCTTCCTGTTTTCAGTTATACTCCAAAGCACTCTCTCAAGAATGTATTTTGCCCTCTTTCTGTCAAATAACAGTATGAAAAAGGTTCACCAGGAAAAAACAGTCCTTGGAATATCCGAAAAACCGAAGGTCACAAAAATACTCGCGGGCAATCCTACAGAGCACCAGAGTTGTCTCAAGTAGAGAGAGAGAGAGAGAGAGAGTGAAAATACGAATAACGAACTTAAAAAATCGCAAAGCATTTGCCTGGTTGAATTAGAGAAGGAAATTACAAAGCAATAACTAGGTCACAGTAGAGTGTAGATGAGGCATGTGTCCATAAACATAAAACCCTTGAGGAAAGGTCGAGCCCTATTTTATCTCATTGTGACCTATATATGTTTAATGTGCAGACAGAAAAGGGTATGGTAGTCAGTATAAATTTCGTCGACTCTTCTCTCTATTTCTCTCTTCCTAGGGTAGGGAAATGCAGTTCGTAGCAGCGTTAGCAAAATTGAATCGGAACACTAAACCAGACATGGGATCGGAAGCGATTTAATTGGTCTAATCGTTAAACCGGTCGATTCAACCGTTCTAATCAGGCAAGTCCCAAACGATAAAAAAAAGTGTTAAAAAACAAAAAAGATACAAAAAAAATCTACTAAAATATGAAAAGCATATAAAAATGTGATTAAAACAATACACACTCAAATGAAGTTGAAAATTATTGAAAAAAAATAGATTTTAACCAATCGATTTGTGCCTAGGGTATTTTTAAAATTTTTTAAAAAAGACGGGAAAATATAAAAGTGAGTATCAATGACCACAAAATTTTTTAATCTTTACCATAATGTAAATAATATTAAAATAGTGTTAAGAAATAGACTTGACCAACTCTTTTCTTTAAAAGAAAATACAAAAAAACTTAAGTTATATACAATATAGAGCATTCTTTTTGTAAATACGTAGTAAATGACATATTGGTTAATAGATCTAATAGGCAATTAAATAGTATATGGTGTATTGGTTAGTGGGCCTAACAACAAATTATTTCTTTACAAGAACTTTCAAGTTCGATTCATTCGGGGAAGTAATTTTTGAACTTCTTAGCAATGTAATGAATTCTTAGAATTGTTAAAATGAACCACAACAATGTCTAAAAAGAAAGCTGATGGAAAGATTTGAACAGTGATTCATGTAAAGTATAGTCGCCAGTGCTAACCAATACACCATTCTAAAATATTCGGTTGATCACCAAAACCATCCGAAACCGGAACCGGCCGCTAACCGGTTCCGATCTAACCGGACGACTAGCGGTTAGATCAGCCGATTTTGCGAACAATGATTGGTGGTTGGGGGGCAAATGTCTCAACATAAAGTCCCATCCTCCATTTCAACCGTAAACATATTAAAACAGAAAAAACAAATGACCGGGGGTCCAAACGATTATACCTTTGTCGAATCAAGGAATACAAGCTAGTGCTTGGGAGGCCACTATCGGAGTATGCACACAGCAGTGAAGGAGCAACTGAGACAAATGGAGCAAAATAAGTCGAGGCTAAGCGAAAAACCTTGAAAACACAAGTGCGCAAGATTGCACTCGGACACAGACACAGAGCGAGCGAGAGAGAGAATGGTGATGATGCCAAGAGGGGGAGATAGAGAGAGAGGATGGTGGTGATGCTTAGATCCTTGAGAGAGGTGGTGTATTTATAGGCACTTTGGGTGGTCCCCAAGAGATGGTTTTCTACATCGAGCTCGTACACACGATGTTCTTGGCATTCAGTTAGCTGGTGAAAAGTTATACAGTAGAAGCCATTCGCTAATTGTCTCATTTGCGTTATTTGTAGTTATGGATTAAAGTAATACATTGTGATCTCTCTCTCTCTCTCTCTCTCTCTCTCTCCCTCTAACTACTAACCTGTGTGAGTGATTACTCTCCTAATTATATGCTTCTAGTGAGTGTGGAACGATATTCATTTGCTGAATTAACACTGTAACATTGTACTCTTAGGTACTGTTTGGACAGACAGACCATGTAATGAAACGTCTAGTAAGTTGGTACGCTTCAATAACACAGGAAAGCGACTCTTGTACGGATTGCGTTAATTAGATTTTACGATTTAACTGAGGTAAAACGTAAGATTCATTCTTAGGGATCCTACCTTAATTAGTAAAGGTTATATTTTATAAAACGACAGGCAGTTCCGCTTCTATTAGGGGGAGGCTCGCCCTTGAAGAGGGTTGCGAGCGCTTCCCCTTAGCCCATAGGCTAGAAAAAGTGAAAGAAAAATTACAAAAAGATGAAAAATATCTAGAAAAATTAAAAGGATTAATTGCCGAGTTACCTGCATGCAAAAAAAGTAAAAAAAATTTCAAAAAAAGGTGAAACAACTCCAAAAAAATCTTTAAAAATCAAAAGAAATTAAAAGGATTAATAGAAATTATTAGGAGATTAAATACAATGGAAAAAAATTATGAGAAATTTTGAGAATTTTTTGTATTGTATACACCTTGGGCTTCTGCCTCTCAAGACTAGGTCAACAAAATTTCAGCATCATCACCCTATACGAAATCTCTTTGAAGATGCACGTAAAAAGGGCCAACACAGTGTTGGAAACCCCCCGGGGTGGATCCACAAGACAGGTTTGAAGGGCCCGAAGCCCAACCGAAGCAAAAGATAGGACCCAATCCCTCAGCACTCCAAGCTGGGACTTTCTTAGGGTATATCGA